AATCAAATCAACTTGTGGAAAATGGGCATCCTATGACCCCTTTAATATATTTAAAAATGGGATTTTAAACATTTAATTTAGTGTCTTATTTATTTTTTTTCAAATTTATTTAGTTTAATCTAGTGTCTTATTATTATTATTATTATTATTATTCTCTATTTTCCACGGGTACCATTAATGCTTCATTATTACATTTGTTTTCTACTTACTATAATACTGTACTGTTAGGATTATGTACCATATTTATGTAATAAATTATTTTAATTATTTTCAAAATGTATTTTAATTGAATTAATTGTTTAATCTAGTGTCTTATTATTTATGCATTTTATTCAAATTGTCTAATATTTTGCACAGACTCCCATAATGCTGCATTATGTTTGTTTTCTACGTAATAATGTACTGTTAGGGTTATTATACCATATAAATTTACTAAAAAAAGTTATTACTTAAAATTTTTTTACATTTATTTAATTTAATCTAGGGTCTTATTATATATTTACACACAGTCCTTTGCATTCATTCCCTGATCAGTTGTCGTCTTTTGCTCTTTTTGCACAATACACTGATGTGCAATATGTGTGTTTTGTAAGGTTTCTTGAGAAACATCCTCTGTATTAAGAACAGTACTGAATGTTGTGAAATAAATGAATAAAAGCCAACTTATATCATTGCATAATATTGCATATGCAATGATTCATAGTTTGCATTCCGAGTGTGTTTTAGGTGTTTGTTAGTGTTTTTTTTTATTCCAGACGGGGCCTGTTATTGACATGCCGGTGCCATCCAGCTACAATGACATTACACAAGACGCCAAAATCCGGGATTTCATTGGCTGGGTGTGGTATGAGAAGGACGTATGGGTGCCGGCGCGCTGGATCCAGGACCGGGGAGCGCGGATCGTGCTCCGAGTGGGAAGCGCTCACTATTACTCAGTGCTTGTAAGTCTGTGGGATGCAGATGGTTGTCTTTGACTCGTGATTAGTCACAGTCTCAGGATCTGTGATGTGTGCATCTCGCAGTGGGTGAACGGGGTCAAGGTGACCGAGCATGAGGGTGGTCATCTCCCGTTTGAGGCGGACATCAGCGGCGTGCTGCGGCAGACGAGCGGGAATCCGTGTCGAATCACCATCGCTGTGAACAACACTTTGACTCTAGAGACGCTTCCACCGGGAACCATCCAGTACATGAACGATCGCAGCAGGTCAGATGACAAACATCACTCGTATAGTGGCCATAAAAACCACTGAAAATGAGTCACACGGGCGTTTTTAAATATTTTAGATGCTAAAAACCTCTAAATAAGATCATTCTCCTGTGAGGAACCTCATCTTAAAAATTAAAAGGCATCTATATATATTTTTTGCATTAAGACTAAATTTAAACGGTGTAAAATTAATAATATAAATCTTATTTGAAAAATATTTTATTTATTAATATAAATATTTTCCATGTTAATTTTCTACTTATTATAGCACTGTACTGTTCGAAGTTTTATTTATTTACTAGTTTTTATTTATCTGTTTATTTTATTCAGATTTTTTTTAAAGGAGACATATTATGCCCCCCCCCCCACACACACACACACACCCTTATTATAAATGTCTAAATATTATTTGGAAAATATTTTGTTTCTCCTATGTTAGTGTTTTTTATTTCCCCCCCTACTCATCATAGCACTGTATCGTTAGATGTATTATTTACACACTTATTTACTTATTTAAATCAATGATTTATTTATTTTTATTCATTTTTGAAAAGCTTTTAAACTGCTTTTTTCTCTAAACATTTCCACGGATCCCCAGCACTCCCCCATATTCAGTTCAGATAATACTATAATATTAATACTATATTAATATAATGGGCAATCATAGTGAAGGCTATAACCAGTAAATAATACAGATTGCTAGATGATGATGAACACCTTCGTTCCCTCTCAGATACCCTGCAGGCTACTTCGTTCAGAACACTGACTTTGATTTCTTCAACTACGCTGGAATCCACCGGCCGGTCCTGCTGTACACCACACCGAAGGCGCACATTGATGACATCTCAGTGGAGACGACGTTCTCTGATAACATCGGTAAACATCAGCCGAAATCTGTCTTTATCCACCTTTTATTTGTAGCATAAGAGCAGATTTGGACAATGGTAACTTGAATGTGCTTCCAATCATTTTAGCTGCACAAAAACAGTTGCTTGATATTGATTTATCATATCATAAACACACTGGTTTGTAGTGTAAGTCGTTTTACCTTTATTATTGTACTTTTATTTTCCTTCTAGTTGTTTACATACAGCAGCTAATGAATCGGAAGTCTTGCACATTAACAGAAAATATCTCACTTGCATGTTACAAAATAACATTTATAAAACGGAGAGTTCCGGTGCTTGATTCTGATTGGCTGAGCAGCAACCACAACTGTTTCTGAGGAGCTACATTGTTTGGTGGAAGAATACTGTTTTTATTAATATTATTACACTTTATTTGCTCGGTTTTATTTTGTGAAACCTTGCTACATGAGTGCCGAGAACAGTTTCCCTTACGGCCAGGTGCCTGGATTCATATATATATATATACACAGTATTATTGGGAATGCATGCACTATTAAAATGCAATGCAAATGCAAGTTACTTTGGATAAATGCATCTGCCAAATGCATAAGTGTAAAAAAAGTACTTAAATGTATTTCAATTAGTTGCCAAGGCAACATTTCTAATTTATTCTAATTACAATTACAATACAAAATTATTATTATTAATATTTAGATTTTTTTTATTTTATGTATTTGTTTTCTTTAATTTGTTTACATTTTAGTAAAAATTTTTTTTTTGCTTTTTGACTTTTTTTATTCTTTTACATTTTAATGAATCTTTTTTTTTTTTTCAGTAATTTTAGTACTTTTATTTTATTAATTATATTTATTAAAATTGAGCTTTTATTTCATGCATTTCCAGTTTCTATTTATTTTAATTTTACTTTGTTTTAGTAATTTTGTTATATGCTTTGTCGTTTTTATTTATTTATTTTTTTCAATATATTTGTTTTCATTTTTAATTTAGTTTAAGTTTTATAAAAATGTATGTGCTTTGGTCAATTTTTTTTTTAAATTTATTTGGGGGGCGGGGGGGGGGTGTATATTTAGCTTTAATTGATTTCAGATTTAGTTTTAGTAAATTTAGTACTTAAACATTTTATCTTTTATTTCAATTAGTTGCCAAGGCAGTATTTATAATATTTTCTAATTCGAATTAGAATGCAATTGTATGGATATGCACATGGTCTCCTTTTATTTTGGTTACATTTTTAATTTTATGTGCTTTTGTCATTTTAATTGTTTTAGTTTTTTACATTTCAGTTTAGCTTTAATTTATTTTTATTTTAGTACTTAAAACACGTCCAAGTTTAAGTACTAATTAGTTTAAGTAATAAATGTGTTTTAGACTTGGACGTTGGACGTTTAACTTCACATCGTCTCCTTTTATTTTATCATTAAGCTCAGTTTTAACATTCTGCTACGGAAGAAAGAAAGTCATGTGTTTGAGACTGTTTTAAGAGTGTTGCTTTAAGAGTGCTTAAAGTGATAAAAGCAGCTGATACCAGCATTTAATTCACCCACACAACCGCATCCTCCTGTGCTTCTGTTATTATAGCTGATGTTTGCTCTGAGTCAGTTCACGGACACACACTGATCCTATGAGCGTAAAACACTGTATTGTCACCTCACTGACCCCGCGGTTTGTGTGGCAGATCCGAGGGAAAGGCTTCGACTGGCCTCTGGTGGTGAAGGACTTTAACCTGATGAAGTGGATGGGAGTGAACTCGTTCCGCACCAGTCACTATCCCTACGCCGAGGAGATCCTGCAGATGGCCGACCGGCACGGCATCGTCATCATAGACCATTTTGGTTTAGTAATTTATTATTTAAATGTATTTCACTTAATTTCTCATTGTTAGTTTAAGATTTTTAATAGTTTAAGTTTGTTTTTTCTTAATTTATATATAGCTTGAATTTATTTTAATTTCCATTTTGTTTTAGTAATTTATTATTTAAACGTGTTTCAGTTCATTTCAAATTTGTTAATTTAAGATTTTCAATAGTTTAAGTTTGTTTTTGTTTTTTTATATTTATACATTGATTTAATTTATTTTTATTTCCGTTTTAGTAATTTTATTATTTGTTATTTTCTCACATTTGTTAAAGATTTTTAATAGTTTAGGTTTTAGTTTTCTCCTGATATTTATATATAACTTATTTTAAATAATTGTAATTTTATTATTTAAACGCATTTCAGTTAATTTCACATTTGTGTTGGTTGAGTGTCCTGGAGTGGGAATCAAAGACATGTGAGACGCCGTCCCAAATACTAACACTTTTCACCCAGATGTGCCTCAGAAACTGTGCTCACTGTCCTGTTTCATCTCAAATGATGTCAAGGTTACAAACCTGTAGGAAATTAAGTCTGCCTGGATTCATTTGACAGGCCACTGTTTTTTGAGACCAATGTTGTTTTAGTATTATTTATAGGCTTTTACAGTATTTATTAATAATAAGAATTAGGTTTTATTTTCATTTTTAGTTTTCATTTTAATTTCAATTTAAAATTGTCATTTTGTAATTTTATTTTATTATTTAAACGCATTTCAGTTAATTTCACATTTGTGTTGGTTGGTTTAAGATTTTTAATAGTTGAAGTTGTAGTTATTGTTGTAATATTTATATATAGCCTTAATTAATTTATATTTATTTATTTTTAATTTACTTAACGTAACAAAACCAATTTTGTAATAGTTTAACAATAACAACATTTATCATTTCTATCTATTGAATTGTCAACACTGTCAGAAAATAGGAGCTGTGAAATCTCTTATTTATTAATATTTTGAGCTTTTATTTTTATATATTTTCAGTTCCCTATCTGTCAGTCACTACGAGTTATGTCGAATGACATACGGGGTCTCTCGTGGGAGGCCAATCATCTCTGAGTTTAAGAGAAAACGCCAATGAAAAGTGGCTAGTGGATTTTGCATGCTGAGCCACTCCCCGTGCTTACGGGTATATAAGGCGACAGCGCGCATCCACTCATTAGATTTTTGCTGAGGAGCCGAGTGGTTGTATGAAAAGCTGTTATACTCCACAAAGCCATTCATCTGCTGTGGGGAAGCTGTCAGGAAGCTGTTCTGGTTGGCGGTACGGCGCGAACAGCGGTGTCCCTTTCAGTGATTCCCCTGGGCGCTTCAACTAAAAGAGCAGATTTCCTAAAAGAGCAAATCACGGACAATTCTCGACTTTTTAAAGACGCCGTTTCATCCGTGTCTTTCTGGATGTGGTCGTTTCCTGTCCTCTGACCACGGCCACGAGCGTTGTCTTCTGTGTCTGGGCATTCAGCACGCTGAAGACGCGTTCGTGGATGGCGTGTTTGCTTCCCACGAGTCCTCCCACTGCCAGTTGTACTATTCCCTAACCCAGGCCCCCCTGGGCACGGATGCACTGGCACACAGCTGGCCTCGGGCTCTACACAAGTATGCGTTTCCCCCAGTGAGCCTGCTCGCACAGACGCTGTGCAAAGTCAGGGAGGACGAGGAACAGGTCCTGTTGGTTGCGCCTTACTGGCTCACCCGGACCTGGTTTTCGGAACTCATGCTCCTCGTGACAGCCCCTCCCTGGCGCATCCCCCTCAGGAAGGACATTCTTTCTCCGGGGCTGGGCACCATATGGTACCCGCGTCAGACCTAAGTGACATACCACCAGCGGTGGTAGACACTATCCCCTATACACCTTACAAGTGTATGTCGCTGCTATCGCAGCACATCACGATGCAGTGGACGGCCGGTCCCTGGGAAAGCATGACCTGATCGTTAGGTTCCTGAGGGGTGCCAAAAGGTTGAATCCTCCTAGGACACCCCTGATACCCTCCTGGGATCTCTTTATTGTCCTGGCTGGACTTCAGAGGGATCCCTTTGAGCCGCTTGATTCAGTTGAGCTAAAGTTCCTGTCTCCTTAAGACCGCGCTCACTTCCATCAAGAGGGTCGGGAACCTCCAAGCATTTTCGGCAAGTGAAGAGTGCCTTGTGTTCGGGCCGGCCAACTCTCACGTTGTCCTGAGACCCTGGCCTGGATACGTGCCCAAGGTTCCCACCACTCCCTTCCGAGATCAGGTGGTGAACCTGCAAGCGCTGCCCCTGGAGGAGGCAGATCCAGCCTTGGCGTTGCTGTGTCCCGTAAGAGCGTTACGCATATACGTGGACCGCACCCAGAGCTTCAGAAGCTCTGAGCAGCTCCTTGTCTGTTTTGGAGGTCCGCAGAAAGGGAAGGCTGTCTCCAAGCAGAGGTTGGCCCACTGGATAGTGAATGCCATTGCCTTGGCGTACCAATCCCAAGGCGAGCCATGCCCCCTGGGGGTGAGGGCCCACTCCACTCGGAGTGTTGCCGCCTCCTGGGCGCTGGTGCACGGCGCCTCTCTGGCAGACATGTCAAGCTGCGGGCTGGGCGACACCTAACACCTTCGCGAGGTTCACCGTAGCGACCTTTTCCCTTAAGGCTCGCTTCCCCATCGTTCTGCCAGGCTGAAAGAACAAATAGGAAAGATTTGAAGCAATCTTTCGCTGAAGGTTGAAATCCCTTCCAAAAACTTTTTTGTGGACTGAACAGCAGCATAACCTTCTCCAGCAGCGACGTGCTCACCGTTTGGTCCCCTTCGGTACCAAGGTCAGTGAATTTGCACTGGGGTTTTGGGAAGGTTACGACCTTAGCGTAGCTTTTGTGGGATGCCACGGCTTGTCAACAATTGCAGTGCCACAGGGTTGTGGCGTTTTTCCATGGACCTCATATGTCGTTCGACATAACTCATAGTGACCGGCAGATAGGGAATGTCTCCGTTACGTACGTAACCCTCATTCTCTGATAGACAGGGTGTCCGCGGGTCCTTAAAAAGTCTTAAATAACGTTTTCCTAATATAAGGCCTTAAAGTCTTGATGTCTTAAATTCGGATTTGAAAATCTTAATCATTTTTGGTCTCATTACTGCTCAAATATCGTCAGCCTGACGGAGCTAATGGCTGTTACAATCATTGGAAAGACCGAAGATGTTTTCTTCCCCGTGGTAAGTTACTGCGTCATCACAGAGAATTGCAGTAAGCTAGCAGAATACAGAATACAAGCTCGCGCTGAGGCTCACTCTGTTTGTCTCGAGACTTCAGAACAAATGAGCGTGACAGCACACAAACTCAGAAGAAACACACTGAGGTAAAAATTCAAAATGTTTAGTTTACTCATAACATGATATAGTTAGTTAACACCATGACAATTGAGCTATTTTGCTCAATATTCTCACGACGCAAAAAACAATTCAAAACACCTACAGAGCGCACGCATTACGTGAAGTCTAGTGCGCGTGCGCATTTACAGTGCGCTCTTTCACTGCATGATTCAGTCTATTAAAATACATTCGGAATGATCACAAATTCAAGACATGGGGGCAGAAAATGTGTATATTTATACCACTTAATATAGTTAATCAAGTTCACATGGAAGAGTGCCTTTTTTTTTTCCTCCAAAAATTACAATAATTAAAACTAAAAATGTGATATTGATTTTTTTACAACAGTTCAATAAACTAGAAGTTTTATTAAGAGCCTTACGTTTTAGACACCCTATTGCCTGTTTTTGCACCATTTCGCCAACAAAAATAATTCCAAACGAAGCCACAGCGCTGTTTTGCGTCTCTGTGCAACATGACGGTGTTTCGTTCCTGAATGAATCAACTGTTCAAATGATTCGGTTCAGGTGCAGCTTATGTCTGGATTGCAAAGATGAATTTTGTTGATACTGATTTAATTTGCTTGGTAACAGCCCAAATGTCTTATTATTCTAATTCACTGATTAAATGTAAGAATTTGACTCAAAAGATAATGCACACTTACAGAAAAATGGCTTTATAAAGGTCAAATGCCTATAAAAGGTAAAAATATATTTAAACTTATTGGAAAAGATTAATTTCTATCAGACCACCACACAGAATATGAAGAATATCAAAAACTTTAGGAGTCAGCTGTCCACGAAAGTCCTTCAGATAGCAACATAACACCACACTCAGTCAGTTGAATGAATGACTCGATACTCACTCATCAAGTGACTTACCGTCACTTACTGCTCGTTCAGTTGAGAAGTTTGCATTTTCCCCCTCAACATTTCTTATTTGTATACTCATAAATGCATTTAAAACATTAATCTCATAAGATTATTTATTGCAGTTGTAATTGTTATTTGCAGTGTAAATTATTTAATCTGACTGGTAGCAGCCCTAAAGTGTATATTGAATTTATTGATCAATTGTAATAATTTGACATGTAATGTATATAAAGATGCATACATCTAAAAAGGTTAAAAATAGGCCTTTGTAAAGGTAAATATGCAGATTTAAGTATGTAAAAACTGATAGAACACACAGAAGCATAGCTCATAGAACACAGATGAAAATATTGCTTCAGAATAAATTGTTTACTCCACCAAAAATCTCAGTGATGCAGTTATTTTGCGGGGATATTTTGTATGGAATACTGTCTGCTGACATGAAACGTTCACTGTATATCGTAGTTATAAATACCATTTATTACAGCAATTATATTTTTTTTCTTTTTAATTTATACACATTAAATATATGTATGTAATAAAATGTGTATTTGCATTACAGGTTTAGATCTTAAATTTCATATAAGGTGGTATTAAAATGGTCTTAAATTGAACTTGTTCATGTCTGCAGAAACCCTGGATGGAGAGAACGGAGACGTTATGTCCCCATGCCACAACCTTGAACCATTCGCTGTTGCCGGGACACGTTCTCTGCTCCTCAGCATAAAATCTAATGAGTGGATGCGCGCTGTCGCCTTATATACCCGTAAGCACGGGGAGGGACTCAGCATGCAAAATCCACTAGCCAATTTTCATTGCCGTTTTCTCTTAAACTCAGAGATGATTGGCCTCCCAAGTGAGACTCCATATGCCGTTCAACACAACGTCTCCGTTCCCTCCATCAGGGAACAAGGGTTACGTACGTAACCGAGAAGTTTTCTTTTTAATTTTAGTTAAAGTTTGAGCTATTTTGTTTTGGTTTATTTTTGGTTTATATTTCCATTTAATTTAATTTATTATTTTTATTTTAGTTTTGGATATTCTAAACTTATTTTATTTTAGTTAGTTGCCAAGGCAACATTTCCATTTTTTTTTTTTATCTAACATTTTTATTTCAGCTTTATGTAAATTAGCAATTACAATTTTAATCGTGTTAGTTAATAACAGCACTGATTCATATTTATTCTCAATCTATTTAAAGTGTTTTGTTCTGAGATGGTTTTGTCATATCTAGATGCAGATAATCAATGTGTGTGTGTGTGTGTTCCTCAGACGCAGTTTCGGGAACGTTTCTCTGGCTCATCACCTGACGGTCATGGAGGAGCTGGTCAGGCGTGATAAGAACCATCCGTCTGTGGTCATGTGGTCTGTGGCCAATGAGCCGGCCTCAGAAATGCCGCCCGCTGGATTCTACTTCAAGTGAGTCAAACTGAATATGAACTACTCCTTTAATGGTTTCAGTGGTGCATATGACGCCATGTTCACACCAGGGGTGTTTCCTCCGAGGAGGCAAGGGAGGCAGTGTCTCCTCTCCTCAAAAATGGATGAGAAAATAATCGATATTGCAAAAATAAAACAACGCAAATATGACATTTAAAGTATAAAAGTCTAAAGTAGTTTTTATAAAGTAACACTGACACCCGCAGGTAAAGTTACAGCGGAGGCTTGCCTCCCTTCGGTCCATAGACTTTCTACAGAGACCCTAAAGCGTGCCGTGACTTTTCTGGAGACTCATTGAGATGAATGGGGGAAAGTCACGTGAGAGGAGGCAATGCCTCCATCGCTCTATAATTGGATATGATCGGCTATAATTGGATGTGATTGGTTCGTTTGATAAATCCCGCCTCTTGTTTTTGTGCCAGCTCTTGGCATGAATGAAGAAAATGGCGTTATTGACTAATAATAAAGTAAGTAAACAACTCTCCTGCTTGGATATCACTGCTTTGTGTCACATCAAAATGAAACATGAAATGACTTGAAAACGTGATGACGTGTCAGTTTTTAGTGAGCATTCAAGCCTGATGAAATGAAAGATGTATCTTCGTGCCTGTGACAAACTACAGGGTTTTTATGACGATGACCCGAAAATAAGTTGACTATTAAAAAGAACAGCTGAACATCAGTTCACAAATAAAAAACCGAGTGTCTATTTACAAGTGCAAATAGCCCGCCTTGTTGGCAGAGGCTTTTTACACTAACTCTGCCCACCAACGTGTGATTACAAAGCATTACAAAAGACTGTCGTCTAATAACAGCTCCAGTGGTGCAGATGGTAAAGTACGTGTTGAAGTCGATTTTGACACTATCAACCAGGGTTCGAATCGCGTTTTGCCTAACTTTTTTTTCTACTTTTTCAAATCAGATATCACGTCGTTGTTATTGTTGTTATTATTGCATACTGTTTTATAATGTACTACATTACTGAGGTGCAGATAATTGCCACTATCTGCAATAAGTAGTATAAATAGCAGAAAATCCATGTAAATGTAAATAGAATCTATAGCTATTTGCACTTGGTGTAAACCTTAAATGTAACAAGGACATCAGAACTGGAGAGGCTCTGCAAGGAGGAATGGCAGAGGATCCTCAAATCCAGGTGTGAAAAACTTGTTGGGTCTTTCCCAAAAAGACTCATGGCTGTATTCGATCAAAAGGGTGCTTCTACTAAATACTGAGCAAAGGGTCTGAATACTTAGGACCATGTGATATTTCAGTTTTTCTTTTTTAATAAATCTGCAAAAATGTCAACAATTCTGTGTTTTTCTGTCAATATGGGGTGCTGTGTGTACATTAATGAGGAAAAAAATTAACTTAAATGATTTTAGCAAATGGCTGCAATATAACGGAGTGAAAAATTTAAGGGGGTCTGAATACTTTCCGTACCCACTGTATGTAACTGCCTCCTCATTTTAAAACGTCACTGGTTCACACCTAAAAGAAGAGAAGACCGATTAAACGCTGCCCTCTTGTTGTTGTAGCTCAATATAAATTATGGTGCAGTCCTAAATCTTAGTTTAAAAAAGCAAAAATCCTGTTTTTCGTGACTCAGTGTTCATATGAAGATGTTTTGATGGTAATAATGCATCATGATGAGGGGTTTGTGTGTATATGTCATGTCTTGTTCAGCGGCTGTAATGAATGTCTTCAGGTAGAAACACCTGCTCTGAGCCTCATTAACATACCTGAGCATCAAAACACTAGAAACTTCTCATGGTCTAATAAATACATGATCCACTGAGTCTCAACAGCTTGAGCTCTTGATGAGATATTCATTTGCAAATCAGGTCCGTTTGAATTATTAACGCTAGCTAGAGCAGCAATAGCACGATATTAAACGTAATGTCATGATGTTAATGTGCCTTCTGTCTGCATCACTGACGTTTGACTACATTTTTGTTCCCTTTCCAATGATTATGGAAAACCTGGAGATGAGAAAATTGTGACTTTCACGCCTCAAATTTTTTTATAAAAATTATGAATAGATATGAATAAAAAATATATAATTCATTAAAATACATTAAAAATAAATAATAATTACATTAAAATGCAATAAATAAAATGGATACAAATTTAACATTTACATACTGCAAAAGTCATAGAAATCAATGAAAAGTCATATTTAATTAGACAAATTACTTGTGGTGACTAAGTGTTAAAAATAATAGATGCCTTGGCCCTTTTTCTTGTCAGAACATAGTTATGACTTTGTCATTGACATACATTACATATGTGTTTTTAGTATTTATATACTATTATTGTATTTGTTAATATTTTAATTAGCTTTTATATGCATTTTCAGTTGTCATTTTAATTGTAGTATAAGTTTGTCATTTTGTTAGTTTTTGTTATTTATATTCAATTTTGCTTTATTATTTTCATTTATTAAAAATTAATTATCAATGATTAATTAACCATTAATTAATTAATAAAAAATAATAATAATTAAATTAAAATACATAGATAAAAATAAATAATAATAATAACAATTTTAAATATTTTATGCTAAGTTAACATTTAAATAAACATACAGGAACAGTCATGGAAATCACTGAAAATTCATATTTAATCAGTATAAATTAATATACTGTATATGTATAATATACCTATATTTAAATAATAAAATAATTTTCAAGCAAAAAGTGTTTGAATCCTGTTTTTCAACTAGGAATAGATTTATATATATATATAAACACCTGGAACTAAATTCTTGTTCATAGTGTCAGAAAAAAACATCTTAGATTATATTTAAACTGTTGTGTTTTTCTCATAGGGAACTGGTGTCTCATACGAAATCTCTGGATTCCTCTCGGCCCGTCACGTACATCACAGACAGCAACTATGCCAGAGATCAAGGGGTGAGGCATCACTCTTTACATTTTACACATTTATGTTTGAGTAATTTCTATGTTGCAAAGTAAGCGCTTCACAGCCTTGCATCTACTGACCTTTACATTCCAGCTGTGTAAATCTCTTCTATTTCTCACTTGAGTTGATCTACAGTAGATCTGCAGTCAGTCGTTCAGGTCATTAACTCTAGATTGCTTCCCCTGAACGCTGCCCACAGTTAACCGTGTTCACTCACACACTTCCTTACAGACCTTATGTCAACTTTCACTCTCGTTGGCAAACCAGGTCTCATTCTAGTGAGTGTTTCATACTAATACATCTTATGAATAAATCTCTGTGACTTCATGCTGAAAAGATTTATCTTCACCTACAATTACCAGGTGTTTGTTTATCCAAACGTCTGCGCTATACTGCATTGATTTTTCAAAGTTGTAAATAAAACAGTTTATTGGAGTGCATTTTACATAAATACTATTTCTTGTAAATTGCGTAAAGAATTATGCAAGTCAAGTCACCATTATTTATATAGCGCTTTTAACAATACAGATTGTGTCAAAGCAACTTTACAGTATTAAATAGGAAAATAGTGTGTCAATGCAAAAAAACAAGTCAGGTCTTTTGTCATATATATATATATATATTTCTTATCTTTTGCTAGCTATTAAAAATGTCTGCATTTTTCAGTGTATATTTGGAGTCATATTTAATAATTTATTGATCATCATTGTATACAGTTATATTTTTATATATCAAATTAATATTCATATGTATTTGTTATTTGCTAAAAAGATATGCAAATCAGATATTTTGTCATAAGAATATGTATAAAATATATATAGATATATAAATTAAATTAAATAGATGGATGGATTTTATTGATACGTGTTACTTGTCTTTCAATTTAAAGGGGTCATCTGATGCTGCTGAAAAGAACATTATTTGGTGTAATGCAATGTGTTTATGCGGTTTAAGGTTAAAAAAACACATTATTTTCCACATACTGTACATTGTTTCTCATCTATGCGTTTTAGGTAGGTGTGGCTGACTCTTAACTTTTATAAAGAATATCTCTTTGGATTTGAGACTTTAGTCTTTGCAACTTTACAGATCTTCTTTATGCACCAAGAGCTTGTAACACTCCAAAGAGAAAGGAAGAATTGAAATCGCATCATATGACCGCTTTAAAAATGTCATGTTTAATTCAGTGTTACTTGCAATTTCTTTAGATTTATTTGTGAAATTTACTAGCAATTTGTCAGTGAAAATGGTTTCTACATTTGTTTTTTCAGTGTATATTTGGAGATGAATCACAAACACTTGAGATTTTCAGGATAATTTTCCACCCTTACAGTTACGCAGGCTTTTGCTACTGTACCTTTAAGACTTCTAAATGGAAATATGTTCAACTGGCTAATCTTTGTGCATATTGAAAGATTGATTTAGTTTTGATGAATAGGATTGTCTGTGTTCTGCTCGTCAGGCGCAGTATGTGGACGTTATCTGTGTGAACAGCTATTTGTCGTGGTATCATGACCCGGGTCACACAGAGCTCATCAGTCTTCAGCTCAACACTCAGTTTGATGACTGGTACGACAAATACCAGAAACCCATCATCCAGAGCGAGTACGGAGCGGACGCCGTGGCCGGCCTACACAGCGTGAGTCCACACCTTCATCAACATTTATATATTTATAAATTCACTAAAGGAATCATGCATATCAGATCTTATTGTAATAATATACTATAATTTATGTATATTTAGATATTATATAACTAATTTAAGCACCTCATCCCAAACCTTCCGTTGCAAATTCCAAAACGTCATTTTAGAGCTGATAAGAGAGGCTTGAGCCATTGATATGCAGGCTTACGCAGTTATTAATGCAGTCTAATGCGGTTATTAGAGAGAGAGAGAGATTAAGTGCGTGTGAATACCTGCATCTATGCGTCTCTCAGCAGCAGCGTCTACTAATAGCGAATGTTTAAGTTGAACTGCTTCAAGAACCTCGCTACTGAGAAATGTCATGTAGCTTTTCAGCTGCGAAACTATTTTATTGATTAAATTTGCGGTGCAGCTCTGACAACAAGTTTCTGTCCGCGTCTCCGTGTGTGTGTGTGTGTGTGTGAGTGTCTGTCTGCACTGTGTGTGCGTCTGTGAGAGAGACTGGGAGAAAGAAAGCCTGATTTCCGTAGCCTACATAAAAAAGGTGGAAGACATGGAAATAGTTTGTCATTTTTTACCCTATTGTTTGTTATATTTAGCCTATTTGCTCAATGCCTTGAGCAATGCGTAAATCCGGCCCTGTTAGA